GAAAGGTTGGTGGGGACCAACCTTTCCAGCTCAGTGGAATGGCAGAGGCAGCAGTAGTGGTGATGGGATGGGGGGGGGGTGAGGGGGGATGATTTTGCATGTTTATATGATTGGTTTGGCTTTTCAAAGTATACCCATAAGGGGCTGAAGTTATATAACATGATAAGTCATATTGTTAAACTTTTTAGGCCACATATAATTTTGACACCTATGTGAAAAACTAAAATGTTAGAAATACAATTAATTCATCACACTTTTATATTTTGACAAATTTACAAGTAGGCAAATTTGTTATGGATAATAGGCAGTGAGGGAAGAATGTAGGAGTGACTCGGATGCCCGCTTGCAAGATAGGGCTTGCTGGGGACACTGGTAGTTTACAGATGAGCCCTCTTCCCCCCTGGAGGCAGGGACCCTTGCTTATATGCTGAGGTAGGAAGATGGGGTGAGTTTTTCTTCACTGCTCCCTTTGTACCCCCTCCCATCAGAAAACTGGCAATTGTTCTGCAGGTCAGTCAAGGAGGAGGAATGATTTCCAGTACTCCCTGCCAGTTTCCCATAAGTAACCTCAATAGGGAAGTTGACAGAACTTGGAAGTTCTGCTCCTACTGTTTTTGATTTCCTGTGGTCATTTTGTTTCTTAGTCTAGATAAACAAATATCTCTGAAAGGATGACCCAGTGGGTCACGGGTTCTCTAGTGTGTCACAAGCTCTCTGGTGTTACCTAAAATTTGATACATTCCCCTCCTTCCTAAAACCAGATAAAGAAAACCCAATTAAACAAACAAGTCAAAAACATTATACTTATTCATTCATTCATTTATTTATTGAGGAAAATTATTCAAAATGCACATATCAACCCAAGACACACAAGTTATCTGATTAAAGAATGATTACAACAGAAGAAAGCTATTGTTTTGGAATGGCCAAGTTAAGCCCTGCCCTTAATCTTATAGAAGTGTCATGGGAGGACCTGAAGTGGGCAGTTCATCATTCCATCTGAATTGAAACTGTTCTGTTAGGTGGAATGGGCTAAAATTCGTCCAAGCCAATGTGCAGGATTGATGAGCAATTATTGGAAATGTTTAGTTGCAATTATTCTTGCCCAACGGGAGCATAACAGTTACTGAAAGCCATGATTAACATACTTTTATCATGTACATTAATGTGGCTTACTGAAAGCCATGATTAACATACTTTTATCATGTACATTAATGTGGCTTTGGATCATTTTCCTCAATAAATAAATGAACAAGTATGTTTTTATCTTATTTGTTTAAATAGGTTCTCTATATGAGTTTTACAACTTATGTAGAAAACAAACCACATTTTAGACCATGTTTATGCAGAGATATTAAAAATTCAAAAATGTTCACAAACTTTTAAATACTACTGTCCATGTATTTGCATAATATAAAAAACAGGTAATGTATTTTTCAGTTTAATATACATTAGTAGTTATTTAATATATTTTCTGGAACTTTTCATTTGAAAGACTTTATCTGTTAAAATCTCACATTAGATATTAACACATTTCTTTCTATAGCTATAAGTTGATGGTATAGCTAGAAGTGAGGTTGTGCTGCTTAAACATTCCACGTCTCTGTCCAGTGTGTAAGAAAAAGCATTGTCCCTTTTCAACGACTAGTGGCTATTAAATGTAAAATAATATACAATAACACAACACTTAATAGAGTGTTCCATGTGAACCGAATAAGCAGGGTTCCTGAATTTGGTAGGATATGCTAAAAAATAAGTTTTCAGATTAGAAAAATACAATTTAAACAAGAAAGGAGGTATAATTTTCGAAGACAATACTCCAAGATAAAAGATTACCTGAAAGAGGGTATGTGTGTATATCTTAGAAACTAATATGCCTAGTGTGATAACACAATAGTGGTGGTAATGATGTCGTTTCCATGGCAACTGGTTCACTGGAGGGCTAGACCTCTGTCTAGGGTGCTGTCAGTATATGTGGAGTTTCCAAGGAAGAAAGTCCCAAAGAAGGTCTGCTTCACCTAATCCAGTTTTAATTGAACTCCAGAGACTTTGAAGTGAATCTACAGACAAGGCAGATACCATTCCAGTAAGGGATGAAGGCCTGTTTTAGCTGCCTCCAGACTCCTCACTTGTTCAAGTTAATGCTTTAAAAATAGCTTAGAAAAGCTATTTTGACTATTCTGAAGTTATATTTAAGGTTCTATTCAAAGAAAAAATGTAACTATAATCATTTTTACCAATATTATCATTTAATATTAGGTAAAAACTGTTATTACATTTTCTATTTTTATGATTAGCTACATTGAATAATCCAGGATATTAACTAAAGAATAAAAGTTATATTTACATAGACTTGTATTGCAGAACTTAGTCCTGGATACAGAATAACAGATGTCAAATATTTCCTTTTGCCTTATAATATTTAATGATACAATATACCAGAATACCTTTACTCTAGTCAATTGGTGAAAGTATACTGCATTATGGAAATCTAGAATAAAGTAGGACTATTGTAATTGCTTTGTATTTTAAGAGGTAACTATGGAAGAAACTACATATCTTCCATAAAGTTTACTTTTGTACTGAATACTAGAAGTGAGGCAAATTTGAAAAACAAATTGCAGTAAAATATATGGAAGAGAAAGTATTTTCTAGGAGGAAATAAATCATGGATGGAGGAATGTGAGGGACAATTTTTTGTCTTGTAAGGTTCAGCGGGTTTAAGTTAAAAAAAAATGGGAGTATGTAATTGAAAAGAGCAAACCAAAATCCAGATAGGATAAAAGTTAGGGTATTGAGCTAGGTGTAGAGAATCCAGCTGTGTTTATATTTATAGGATTGCTATTATTCTTACCTCCTCCTAAATAACCGTAGAGGTATAGTATTGAAATAATCTGTGTGTGTCATCTTGAGTTCCAGATTGAAATACTGTAGTGTGATAGTTATTAGCAATAATAGTATTTACAGAACAGTAACGATTTCTGTCCTTGCTTTGCTATTTAGGTCATGCTACCTCATCCTAGCAGTTACCTATTTTTATGTGCATTATAATTATATATAAATGATTTTCAGCTTTGTTTTATTCTTAAATTGGATGGTTTCAGATTGTATGGATGATGGAAAGAAACCCTCCCCCATTAGACTATCAAAGTAGCAATGCAAACTGAAGTCTGTTCCATAGAGAGTGGAACTAACCATGTAGAATGAGGAGCTGATGAATGGACCTTTTTTTGGAATTCCCTCTGGAAAACGAAGTGACCACACATAAGAGGTCCAGACAATAGCTTCATGCAAAGAGACCATAAGAACTTTGGCAGCTGAAGGATTTCCATCTTTGCTCAAACTATAGTTGACATTTTCAAAAAGATACTTCTGCTCTTAATCACTTCTGTAAATTGCTTGTTAGCTGCTTTTTGGACATTAGGAACCTTCAGAATAGAAAGTTTTATTACAATGGATGAATCTGCTGCAATGTTTGGTGAAATAAGTTTTATGCAAATGTAAGGACTTGTGATTTTTTTAAATTTTGGAATAAATAGAAAAAAGGTGAGTAGAACCTTGATTTTAGAAAGTTAATAAACAGAGTAAGGGGCTGGTTGGATTTGAAAGAAGATTTGAAATTAATTACAAGAATCCTTCCTGTGGGTTGTTTAGGCTTCTATAAAATTTTGAAATTAAGTATATCTTCCCATAGGAAAATATTATTTATTTTTATCTTGTCTTTATACTTTTTATAAATAACTGAAAGTGGTGAATATAATTAATAGTCTTCCCTTTTCCTATTTTCTCCAGAACACTAACCCTGTTAAATGAGTTGGGCTGATATATAGTGACTGGCCAAAGTTGCCCAGGCAACTTTCATGCCTAAAATGGGACTAGAACTCACAGTCTCCCGTTTTCTAGCTTGTGCCTTAACCATTAGAAAAACTATTTATTAGGGAGAAGAAACAAAAAATGGGACTTTGAAAATTGGACATTAAATGGAATAAAAAAGAATTAAAGATTATAACTAAAAGATAAGAGACCTGTTAATAGAGAATAGAGCAAGATACTGTAACTCTGGAAGAAGTCAAGGAAATTTGCATTCAGAAGCTACTTTTAAAACTGTCAACAATCATAAAACTGCATAAGAGGAACATATTTTACTGGATAAGATTGATACTGATTGATTCAAATGTGGATTTAAAAATTAAAACTTATAAAAATGAGAGGAAAAAGATTCATTATTAGTGGGTCTCTTTTTTAATTATAATCTTTAATTCCTTTTGACATTATATAAAACTGGCTGATGTCTTAATAATTAAAAGAAATGTACAAATAACAAACCAGAACAATGATTTGAACACCTCTTTCTTTTGGGCTTACAAAAGAGATTAACACATCTATTTTATAAGTTCAAAAGAAAGCTATCTGAATCACTGTTTTGGTTTTGAAGAAATTTCTCAGAAGAGACAAAGGGAAAATGAAAATAAATCAAGTTCTGGGATATTATTTAAAGGAGTTAAAGATCAGGATTGTTAAAAAAACAAAAGAAAGGAATATAAAATTGGTGTATTTGATCAAAGTTTATATATATGTATATGTATATGTTGTTTCTGGTATCTCTTCAAGGTTTTCTGCTGATTAGAACTGAATGATGAGATTTTAAGAGGGTTTTTTTTAGAGATAAGAGATATATATGGAAAGAAGATATTCTTTGTTGTAGTATCAAAGAAGGTGAAAAGAAATTCCTTGTACTAATACTTGTTGTGATGTTTGGCTTATCTGAAACCAATTGGCTTCTTTGATCAAGGTTAAAATATATATTGTATGTTGCTACTAATAACTTGTTATTTCTTGGGTAGTGATATAGATTCATTTGAACTGATCATGCTTTTCTTAATTTTCAGTATAAAATAACTAAAGATAAACAAACAAGGATATATATTTACTGTATACATTTTCATAAATTAATGAAGCAATTGCTTATTTTAAAAATATATCATATTTGTTTTTATCAGATACTTGCATATACAGATGGACTGCATGGGAAATGGCTGTTTTCAGAGATCCGATCAGTATTTTCTCGACGCTATCTATTGCAGAACACAGCATTGGAAATATTTATGGCCAACAGAGGTAATTCTGGAAATGAGATATTTTACAAGTTTGAAGTATGTATTCACTTGCTTACTATGTCAGATTACATTTTCCTAGGACTTTCACACATAAAGGGAATGCAAGCCCTTCCAGAATTTTTTTTTTTAAAAAAAACTGAAAATCTTCAGATCCAAGAGCCCTGACACCCATAGCCTCTGGCTCGGCCAGGCGTAGGGATGTATTATCAGGATACGTATGATATTTAATACTGTGTTAATGAATGACTTTATCCAGCAAGTTTACATAGATGGTGAATAGAAGCAGAGGCAAGGTAAAGTCATGAGGATTGGATCTCAAAGTAAAGGATTGGATCTTTTCCCTCTTACCAAGAACTGGATCTGGGGAAAGGGAGAGAACCACCACAATGCACTTCTTAATTCCTGCTCTCAAAGTTGTTCACAATGGTAACTTGTTCACTGATACCAAAAGCCCCTGAAAGATCAAAAGGGACCTGTCTGGATCCTGAACTTTAATGGATAATCTACATATGGAAATATTAATCTACAAAATGTTTCCTACTAATGAATGCCAGCAGTGATAAGATAGGAAAGAGCACGGATTCATTTATTATTTAGATCCAATAACATAATGACAAAACTAAGTCACTGTTTGGTAAATTCTTTTGTCCCAACAATGCTATCAAGACAATTCATTTTATGGAAAGTGAGCACTGTGTTGTTATCATTGCAACATTATGTTAGGATAGTGTCTTAAAAATATGCATTGCATTTTCACTATTCTGTCATGATTTATTATTCCAAGAACCACTGTGTAAATAACAATGAATAATGTCTAAATGTTTCTTGTACATAGTTGCTGTCATGTTCAACTTTCCGGATCCTGCAACTGTAAAAAAAGTAATCAATTGTTTACCTCGTGTTGGAATTGGAACTAGTTTCGGATTGCCTCAAACCAGGTATATTATAACTCTTGAGAACAATTTCAGCTCACAAGGTTGCAATATAAAGTTGAAATGTAGAAAGCAAATAGTAATAATCAGGAAAAAAGATTCAAATCTAGGAAAAGAAAGAAGTCCTTTTTAAAATTTATTTTATTTGGTAACAGCAGACTGTGCCTTATACTTGGGCATAGAATTATACTAAGCCATGATATATTTTATTTGTTTTTTACTTCTTTGTGTGAATCCAATTAGCTATTGTTTATTCATTAAACCAGTTAAACAAACAATAGTTTTATATAATCTGTGACCAGTCTTGAAGTCTATTAGAAAAAGAAATGATAATTGGTGCTTACTAATACAAGTTGTAATGATGTACAAAATTATTAACATAATGAATAATTTTATAATAAAGAATCTATAATACAATTATTATGTATATTTGATCATCAGAAGAAAACAAACTCCCAAAGTATACATATTATTTCAATATAATATATGGATGTGTTCTCTCTAGATTGATAGGAGGACAATCAGAGGACCAGGCATTGACACTTTTATGATGCTTTAAATTGGATTCTTGCCCAGGGCAGGGTATTATACTCACAAATATCCCCTTCCACTTTTATAATCCTATCATTTATGAATTTAAAAGGGCAAATTAGTTGAACACAGTATTTTGGAATCATTTCATCATTACAGTGAACGTTTAGTTCATATAAACAGACTATCCAGGTGCCACTAGTGGAGAAATATCAGTGTAAACTAGACTGTGCACGTATATAGCCTGTAAATATTTTTCTAGCAAACATGTTTGAGTTCTGTGTTTATGCTATGTTTATTCTGAAGCCAGCTTTTTATAAGACAGAAAACCCTATAGCAAAAGTTAATCTGGCAGTGACATCTTAGGATTCCAACAGTTGAGTGTTAACATGCATTTCAACTTTCATTGAAGAGCAGTAGTTAAGCATTTTAAATGTATAAGTATCATAAATATATATTATATTATGATATAAATATCACAGTTATGTATCAATATCAATTAAATATATTTTGAACTACTTGCTATACGAAAGCACCTCCAAATTATTTTAAACTACACAATACAAAAGAATGAATAAAAACAATATAGATGTGAAATATATAATAAAAAGTTCAGGGGGGAAAGGAAGAGAAATACATAATAAGGCTCACAAAGAAAGGACTTGAGTAAACAAAGATTTGTTGGCTTCTCAGAAGATAAGATAGTAAAAGTTTTATGAAACTTTTCCTCAGATTTTTTTGGAGTAGAGCAGTGGTGGGATTCAAATAATTTAACAACCGGTTCTCTGCCCTAATTATTTCTTCCAACAACCAGTTCACCAAACTGTTCAGAAAGTTAACAACCGGTTCTCCCGAAGTGGGGCGAATTGGCTGAATCCTACCACTGGAGTAGAGGCACAGATCTAGAGAAGGCTTGCTTACAAGTGACTGCAAGTTGATATTCTTGTCATTCTTAAGTGTGTACAACACAACTTTCCCAATTATCTCAGTGATATATTTTGGTTCCAGATTGCTTAGGGACTCAAGCTGACATGTCATAAAAATTTTGTATTTCAGACGTATTTCTATGGCCACTCCACGTCAAATCTTTAAAGCTTCAAATATGACTCAGCGATGGCAACACAGAGAGATTTCAAACTTTGAATATCTTATGTTTCTTAATACCATTGCAGGTAAATAATGGAAATCCCTTAAAGACAAGTTGAACAAATTTGGCATAATATTTTCTGAAAATTAATTAGAAGAATTTCAGTCTCTCTTTTTAGATAAATGCTTCTGCTCTTGCTTGTTATTGGTGTTTCTTAACATTTATAAAGAATCCCTGTACATTATTTAATCACTTATTTTTCAACATTTATCTGCCTCCCAGCTCATAAAACTCCAGGTGGTTTGCAATAATATAAAAATACAGAAATCAATCACTTGAATCCAAACTCAGTGTTAAATATAAATGATAACATGGCAGCCCATCAATAATAAGTCAATATAAAACCTTTAAAAACATCTGCCATATGCCTGATTAAATAATATTGTTCTTATTGGGTGAAAATATCAGCAGGAGGATGCGGGGCATAGCCTTGGAGGAAATATTACTCCTTTTCTTTATTTTTAGTTATAGTGCATGCCATATTTCTTTCTTGATATACCAAGAAGGATACACTGATTATTGTTAATTCAGTATTATTTTCACTATTATATTCATTTAGTTTGCAACTTTTCATTAGTTAACAATATTTTTAACAAGATAATTTTCTGTATCATTGGTAAACTTACCAATGATAAGTACTAAGCAACATAGAAGAGGTTACATTCACCACATCTTATTTATTCCTCAGTTTAAATTGTCTTTCATAAGAATTCATTATTCTTAAGAATGCTCTGTGTATAGAATTTTTAAAAGACAGATAGAGAGTGAGAACTCTTGTCTACATTTTGTTTCATAAAGTTGTATTAATTCCTATACAATATAGTAAAGGTTTCTTTAATTTTGTGCCTTCTATATATATATATATATATATATATATAAAAGCATTATTGCTCTTTCTCACTAGGGCGTACATACAATGATTTAAACCAGTATCCAGTATTTCCTTGGGTGATCACTAACTATGAATCAGAAGAGTTGGACCTTACACTTCCAAGTAATTTCCGAGATTTGTCAAAGGTACTATAAAAAAAAAGAATTATACATGGAGTCCTTGGAGCCCTCTGAATGTGATTGTTTGTTTGCAGTTGTTACCCAAGCTTGCTCCTTGTTTATACCTTGAGTCATGATGAGACAGTGGTTAGAATGCAGTTATTGCAGGATAACTTTGCTCATTGCCAGAAGTTTGATCCTATGCAGCTCAAAGTTGATTCAGCCTTCCATCCATCCAAGATCAGTAAAATGAGAACCCAGATTGTTGGGGGTAATATGCTGACTCCATTTGTAAACCATTTAGAGAGTGCTGTAAAGCACTATGAAGTGGTATATAAGTGCTATTGCTATTATATATAGTAACTTTGTTTGTTTATCACATTTTTAAACTACCTATCACCATTAGAGACAAAAGACAATGAAATCCTCTCCAGCAGCCAATGCTCAAATAAGCATAGATTAACACCAGGCAAACAATCAAGCAGAAAAACACTAATCCAGGAACCACCAAGGGAAAACCATACCCCACCAAACTGGCAGACAAGGGATCTCCAAGGATTCCACAATTAAAGTTATATAATTCACTTCTACAAGAAATAATGATGATGTCTGTGAACATGAATGCTATAAACTAGAAGGGAACAATACGCTTTCAATAACTGTTCAGCATGATGACTATATTAGTATTAGAAATTAATATTCTGTTGCAGAATAAGAGTGGGAGGAGACCCTTGTGCTAGATTTCAGTTGGGCCAATTTAAAGATGACTATTCATCTGGTTAGGTCTTTGGTCTGATTAGCAGCTCTCATTTTGTTCTGGGCATGCTGCTGTGTTGAAGCCAAACTAATTATTTCCAAACTAATTTTTATAAGCTTTATTTTATTTATTTATTAATTTTATATGCCGCTTATCTCAGTGTTGAGAGACTCTGGATGGCCATATGATACAAATATTCTGTAGCAATAGAATAGAATACCATCATCCAGACTATACTTGCATATGGAAGTGAGCATATGCACCTGAACCTATGATCTCCTTTACTTATGTTTAGCTGCACTTGATCGGAAGTTATGCTCTGAATTATAAGTGCTACTTCTAATAGATGCAGTCTTGATAGAAGAGAATATTTGTAACTCATGGTTCAACTGTAAGGTCCTGGGTGTTCTATGAGGTTGGTTGTTCTCCAGTGGAGGTTGCAGGAGGGTCCAGGAATGGGTTGTTATGTCCTTTTCTGCTCAGAGACCGAGCCATAATTGTGGCCACGCCTCCAATCCTCTCTTGCCTGACTCCAGTTTCCACTCAGTCTTTGCCCAAGAGAAACATATTTTCTGGACAACTGACCATTAGTCAAAACCATTCCTGAACCCTTCTATTAACTGCTGTCCATGTGGTAAGAGCTGCTAGGGTGAGCTGTGGATATCAGGGCTCCAGCAGTTCCAGCGGAGCCGCTCGCGTCAGTGGGTGGAGTGGACCGACATAATTCTGAAGAAAAAAATTCCTGGACCCAACTACAACCCACTGAGAAGCAACGTATCAGGTAGCACCAATGTTTCTTTCCTTGCAGATGTTTCAGTACTAAACTAGATAACATAATCAGTGCTAGGTAAGTTTGATAACGAAAAGTCTGCAAGAAAACAACCAAACTTAGTGATGAAGTCTCCTCAGGTCCCATTTCTCATAGTTTAGTCAATTACAGCAGATTTCTGCTCTTCATATTTGTATTGGAACATTTAGTTTTCTTATTAAAGATAATAATTGCAATAGAAAAACTAATACAAATTAAAAAAAGAAAGGAGAAAGAATAAAAAAATGCAAAGGAAAAGAAAATGAAGGAAGGATGGAAGGAAGGAAGGAGACATCCAACAATCACCACAAATATAAAAAAATTAGTGACTTTTCTCCGCCTCTTAATTTACAACCAATGATCATTCCATATGCCATATCTTATCTACAGTCTATAAAACATCATCATTTCAGTCCTGGTGTCAGCAAAAGTCCATTAAGGATTGCCAGAAATAACAATATATTTTAACTTTAATCAAATAAACCAACTTTATATTCCTTCCTTTTACTTCTAACAACTTTCATCTGTAGTCCATTCAAATAATGTCACAGATCTTGAATTCTTTTCATTTCTTTTTTATCGTAAGATTCCCCCAAGCTTTAAGAAACCTATTTGTAAATCCAATACTAAAGAATAATACAGGTCACTTTTTTGGTTTATCATTTCCCTTTTGATTTTTAAAGCACCAACCAATTTTGTACGTCCAATAAAACAGCTTTTTCCATGCCATTCTCCATGGTCTTTCATTTGTAGATCCACTATTAGTGTTAACTCTGTCTCTGTCTTGTCATATAAAATTTGTTTCTCTTGTGCCGTTTCTTCCAAAACATCTTTTGAACACAGTCTTTGCTGACACAGTTTGAGTGATATGGCTATTCCCTCATTTTCTGGTGCTCAGAAACACACCAGAGATTAGTGTCTTGTGGTCTCCATGTGAGCAGAAACTGCCTGGAAGATTTGTGGGTGATCTCTGTCCTCTCTTTGTCTAGAGAGCTTCAGAGAGCTGGCCTACTCATCATTTCTTCATTATTTGCTCACTTTTTGCAGAGCCATCTTCACTCTGCCATTTCTTCCTTTGGATGTCCATTTATATTAAGACTTGTGAACTAATGTTCAACCCAACTATAAGGTACCCAGCTTAAGAAAACTTTAGCATAGAATATTTTAGTAATTAATGTAACCATCCATAAATATTCTTGTTGGTTTTTGTTTTTTTTACATTCTGCTGGATATGACCACATTTTAAATGAAATTTAGAGGTATATCTAAAATTTATTTACTAAATGTAGTAAACTTAATATTGACCAATGGGTTTTATATAACACTATAATAGCACACAATATAATGTTACAATAGCACATAGTTTGTAAAAAATAGTTGCTGTTCTTAAATTATGAACTATTGCACAATTTAAAAAAATATTTGGGTATGTAAAATTTAATGCATAGAATCTGTAAATATGACTGAATTTAAATTATAGCATGGGCTAATCCTATGAACTTCATATTTTCATTTAAAAAAAAATAAAAAATAACATCTCTACATGCCATAGAGTTGCTTCTAGCACCTTGGATAAATCTCAGAAGCAGCTTCCATGGTAACAGAGTTAAAAAACCTACAGTTCTGCAAACAATTCCTTGGTTTAGAATCACCATGTAGTACTGAAATTTTTGAACTGGATTTTTAGTTCTTAAAATCATAGCAATGTCTCTATTGTTTTGAAACATTTATCATATTAATATCTTTATTAAGATAGTTATTGACCAAAAATGTGATTTAGTTGACTTAGAAATACAATCCCTTCTTTATTCTGATTTAACTTTGAAGTCTTGTTCTAAGCAACAAAATTGAATCAAAATAATTGAAATTCTTATTGTTTAAAATTATTCTATACCTGATTATTATATCTTACAAATACTGGAAATGTATTTCTAGTGGCTTTTTCTCCTTTGGTTTGAGTGTTTCTTTCCAACGCGTAAGTGTGCCATATTTTATTTATGAACAGTACATATTTTATTTATGAAATATACATTGCTTCTCATTGTCTTGTTCACATCCTGTCTCCTTTTCAATCAAATCATTTTCCCTCCTTATTTCATCCTCATTACACTGTGATATGTTGAAAGGAATCTTGTAGATGTAACCTATTCTATTAAGTTTTTTCTCTTCAACTTTTTATGACTTCATTAGAAGATTGTTAAAATCTTTTTTTCTCAGTTACTTTTATTTTCAATCTACATATACATTATAATAATTTTGTACACTGCAACTCATTATTTTATGTCATAAAAATACTAAAAGTTTTCATGGGTGTATTAAAGCCATACTGCCTTCTATATTCAAATAGGAAAAATGGCCTGGAACACCTGAGGGCTCTTGCATAGGATGTGTTGGCAACTCCTTACAAAAAGCTGCATCTTTTTGTAGATTTTAGACCTTCTGCTATGTGGTCCCAGGAGCAGACAAATTGATTTAAAGATGTTTTGTCAGGTATTACATAAATGATGTGTTCTCCAAACCAATTACCGCCTTTTGAGTACTGATTGCCTCGTTGTCCTATCATGTAAATATCTTCTGATACATAAGCATTAGTCAGGACAAATAACAAACCACTAGAAAGTATTCTAGTTGTTAGAGTACACATCCAATGTAAGATCTTTTCCTCTATGTATGATATTTAGCAGCAGCATCAGTCTAAACTAATTGGTAAAGAAAATACTTTCTTTCATGACAAGATTTCTGTGTGATTGCAAACTCAGTGGATATGTTGGTCAAAGATTTTAGATTCCCAATATTACCTAGGAATTGTGAAGTTTGTAATAATGATTTTTTTGTAGAGCACCATATTCTTATACTGTGCATTAAAGGTTATTCTCTAAAATGACAATGTCAAGTGGAGATCTATATTAAGATTACTGATATAATGGATTGATATTTGCTTCAACGTGAATTACAGTGTATCAGAGCACAAAATAATCAACAAAGGTAAGATCAGGATTGCCATAGAAATAATAGGTAGATTCATTTCAAGCCATCAAGTAGCTTGTTTGAGTTTCCAAACCATGATACGAGAACCCAGCAATTATGTGAAGTGGTTAATAGTTTCTGGGTTAGATTTATGTTTGAATCATATTATTATGTCTTTGTGAACTGTTTAGTAAACTGTATGAGACCAACTATGCTTTCCCTCTATAAAACCATATTATCCAAGGTTAGTAGGTTATTTCTTTTATTTCCTTATTAATTCAAATTGTAGGGCCACACATTTTAAAATGTGAGTCTTAACAAGTTTTTCGGAAACCCCTGAAGACCCATCTGCTTCTCCAAGCATGGCAATCCATGGAGTAAGTGAATGTGTGTAGTTTCTTTGATGGGCACTTTGTGCTTTAGTGTGTCTTAAAATGTATATTTTGTATTGTATCCTCATTGTATTTTTTATCTTTGCTATCTACCCAGAGTCGCATTAGCGATATGGGCAATCATATACATTTATATGAGTAAATAAGTGAATAAATACAATTACCACAGTCAGAGTTGCTTATGAAGCATAGATTATTTTCAATGTAATTATGATTTATAGAATA